AGTGACGCGGGGCTGCGCCGGCCGGAGAGAGAGGCAGGTGGGCAGGCAGGCGGTCGGTCCGGAGGGAGGAAGGGAAGCAAAGCCGGCCATGCCTGAGCAGCCAGAGCCCGCTGCCCCACGTCACTGAGCCCGCTCGCCCACGTGCCGCTGGAGAGCTGCTTCTCCTTCCCCTCCTCCTCCTCCACCACCCGCTTCCCTTCCCTTCTCACCGTTGCAGCTGAGCGAGCTGTTCCGCTCGCCTGCGCGCTGCCGGAGAGCTGCTTCTCCTTCCCCTCCTCCTCCTCCGCCACCTGCTTCCGTTCCCTTCTCGCCCTTGCCCCAAAAACATGCCTCCAAGGGGGGGGGGGGGTTGTCTAATATGGCCAGTCGCCTTGTACAGCGGCAAATACGGTAGAAAGAAAGGTTGCAGAAACAAACTGAAAAGACAGATTTTATTTTAAAAGTTTTTTTTAAAACTCTGCTTTATAGAAAGTAATGGAGTGACAGTCCTCTAGAAAGGGGGATATGGTATTTTGCTGTGTATCTTCAGTAAATCCCTAGATTTCTGAAACCAATCTCCTCATATATGTTTTCAAATGGGCGATAAGATCTATATATCTGGGGCAATCTGAACTTTTGACCCTGTCAATCAGGATGTAAGTAGCTGACTCTTTTAACTCCTTCCTGGCCAAACAGGCTTATCAGAATCATGTTTCCAAGAGGGTTCTGTGTCTCGTTATGAAAATGGAGATACAAAAAGATTATTTTAAAAAATAATGGAAATATTTCTAAATATGTATTTTAAAATAATCCAGAACAAATATTCAGAAGCTCACTTGTTTAAGCTGTGGAATTAATGCTTTTTGCTTTGTGGCTGGGGATGGGCTTACATGATGTTAGCAGAGCTTTGGTGCCTATATCCTGTCGTAGTCTCCTGTCAAAGTCTCCATTCCATCCATCTTGTCACTATACAATTGCGTGGCAATTAAAGATAAACTTCAAAGATGTTATGTCCCATCAAGTAACTTTTGATATGTCGTGACCATATGACTTAATGACTTCCAAAATTTCCTATCATTCACAGCTCTACTTAGATCTTGCAAACCAACATCTTGTGTTACTTTGTTTTGTCTTCCTACTGCCTCTTCACCAGCAATATTGTCTTTTCCTGTAAGTTCTGTTCAGATCTTGCAAACTAACAGCTATAGATTCTTTTGTCAAGTCAACCTACCCCGGGTTAGGTCTTCCTCTTTTCCTACCGCCTCCTTCACTTTCCCAAGCAATATTGTCTTTTCCAGTCAGTTCTATATTCTCATTATCAGTGCAAAGATTTTTTAATTAATTTTTGCACTAGTGGAAGTTCAGAGTTGACTTGATTGAGCATCTACTTTTCTGCTTCTCTGGCTTTCGCATCTGTACAGCTCTCCTCCAACACCACATTTCAAGTGAGTTGGTTTTCTTTCCTCTGTCTTTGCTATGTATCTTTTATGTAGTATGGATGATTTTAGCCTTGGTTTCAAGTAACAGTCTTTGCTAACTCCTATCTCCTCCTTTTTATTTCAAAAGGCGAGGGAACATATTTTGGAAAACATACAGGCAACATGTTTGCAGAGCAATGGTTTGGAAACTGGAATATATTTTTCTTGAGTGGATTCATGCAGAGTGGGCATGGCAACGTGAGTTTACCTGAGATGAGAAAGGGTGTGTATGTTTCTTTATCAGTACTCCAGCACTGGAAGCATTCAAGGGAAATTTAGACAACCACCTGGCAGATATCCTTTGATTTGTATTCCTGCATCGAGCAGGGGGTTGGACTCGATGGCCTTATAGGCCCCTTTCAACTTCACTATTCTATGATCATATCATATGTGTTGTAAACATTCACACTTTCGTTCCACCTTTTCATTAAGTCCAAAACACTCCTTCAAAATATTTTGGCACAAAGGGCCCACAGTAACCTCCCAGCTGTTTTTGGTTTCTGTTAGGATTTTATGTAGTTTATGTACACATAAAACTTCCATTTTAAAAAGCCAGGAAATTCAGTGCTTCAGAAAAACACCTCCTGTTTATAAATATAGGGTATTGTGCTTCTGTATCCATGATTCAAAATGACAGGAAATAGCTCAATATTGCTGCACAATATCATGCTCAGATTGTCAGCAGAGAAAAGGATGCCAACTTGGACAAAGGGCAGCCTGAATGTTGATGACACCCATGTCAGCACTCAGTAAGGACTATAGGATACTCTTATGCTTATTGCCATTCACAAAAAGACACCAAGAAGATCCCAGAACCTGTCTCCTATTTTCATCAGTTAACCACTTCTTGCCCAAACACTATTCAATTGTCAGGGGCTCTTTTTCAGTAAGCTCCCTAGGTGTCAAATGCCTAGAAGAAATGGTGGTGAGCACAAGAGGGTATCCTGTAGACCATCTTGACTGCTAGTATGGATGTCATCAGCATTCAGGCTGCCCCTTTGCTAGGTAAAGTTCGCCATCCTTTTTTTTTTAGCTGACAGTGCAGGTATGATATTGTGCAGCCATACTGGGCCATTTCCTGATACAGAAGCACAATGTCCCACATTCATAAACCAGAGTGTGCGTTTTTGAAGAACTGAAAGAACTCTGCTCCTAACACCTAGAAGCTACAGTAAATGGCTGTAGCTTTCCAACACAATTTTATCCCTGTTAAGGGGAAGACTGCTTCCAAACTGCCTGCATATAGACTGCTGAAAAAAGGTTACAGGAAACAAGTTGAGTGGCCTTGTTGCCTCACCTCTTAGAAGCAAAAAGACAGTGCCAGCCCACCAATGCCCTTGGAATCAGGCAGCTCACCAAAAAGAAACAAGAAAAGAAAAAACAACAGCTTGCTGGTCTATCAAGCTGTCAATATTGAGCACTACGAAAAGCACGTGGTTCCCAATCCTACATTGCCTCTTCCTGGTTATCCTCTTCGCCACTCAGTCTTTTACCCCAGGCAGCAGCTGCTGCTGTTGCTGCTGCTACCATGGCAACGTAGACTAGGCTTTCCGATGGGTCAGCTTTCATGGTACCCGCTTTCATGGTACTATGCTGGCTTCCCAGCACCCTCAAGCGCTGTGTGCGTGCATATGCCTGTGTGTGATGTGCAGGCAGGGAGGGGAGGAGGAGTGGATGACCTACTTTTGATGGCACTTTCTTCTCAGCCCTGCTAATCATGGATAATCATAGCCTGACCCAGAGACACAGCTGAATGAGGAGGATATAGTTCTGAGCAAGAAGCCCGTCGCCTTGCAAGAAGCCAGATGACGAGTGCAGAGTTTAAGGGAGGGGCCAGCATGACCATGGTTCAAGCTTCCCACCATGTTGCAAGTGTCTTGCCCTACCTGTGGCCACCTTAGAAGGACACCAAAGACTTCCAATGGAGGTCAGCTCTTGATATATAAAGCTGACTCTTCAGCATCCAAGGAGTCACAGGCAATGAAGCCCACAGGCCATTTGACATACTTGTCCCACATTCATATATCCTTTGGGGGGGGGGGGATTGTCTATCCTAACATTGGGAAGGCACCCCCTCATTTCAGGCATGAGCTGTTAATGGCCCTTGGTGCATAGCGTCTGCAAAATATTGTGTGCCTCCAGGATTAGATCACAATACCCTTCATCCATTCACCACCTGCAAGAAAGGAGTAACTGTAGAAATCATACGCCACAGCTAAAGAGAATGCCCATATTGAGATATAGGGCACCTCTGCATCTCAAATGTTATGGGAAGAACAAAAAGGGAGTCTGAGTGACCTCAGGCATGTGGGCATTTGACTAGCTGCTGCTGGGGACAGGATACCCGGCTGAACGCAGTGTGTTTGATCCAGCTGGACTCCTCCCGGCTCTCGTGGTCTATGCAACTCGTAGAAGCAGCCACCCAGAATTCTGTACCCAACTGTGGAGCTTGGCTTTTCCCTTGTAATTTAAAATATAATCGGATTACCCTCTACATTTTCTGAATGCTATACCATCAGAAACCTTTTCCTGAGATTAAGGGAGTTTGTCTCAAAAATAAAATCAACCTACATTGGGTTTAAGTGGCTGGAAGCAGAGTCCAGGAGACAAGAATCCATACCCCATTCTTCCCCATCACCTTCTCAAATACTCCTCTCTAACTCCAGTAGCACCACCAATAATACCACTAAGCTTCTCAGCATTCTGTATCCTCAGCACACCAGGAGATTAAATTTTGCACCCAAAGCGCAGGGAACAAAGTCACAGATCAAGCTCTCTCCACAAAAGCAGGTCCGACTTTGAACTCTACGCAGCAAGTATGCTGCTACTAGGTGATGTCAGATGGACAGACTATGTTGTGCCAATAGCACCGAGAGAACTGCCCTGCTGACTCATCCTGTACGGGACTAAACGCTGACCTCTAACGCCCTGCATGGCTTGGGACCAGGAAACATCCTTTACCATGTCCAGCTGGAGTTATGCCAAGTGGGGTGAAATCAGAATCTTCCACAAGAAGAGCCCCAGCTGTTGCAGCTCCTCAACACGGGATTTGTTGTTGTTGTTCTTCTATCACACTCATCTTATTGCTAGTCCCTGCCTCAATTTTTCATCCACAGATTAAGACATCCTTATTGCTATCAGGCATTTTCGGAATAAATTCTGAGCCTTACAATGTTCTTCTATGTATCTTTTAGTTCAAACATTTCAAATACCGGTAACTTATTACTTCCACATTCTTCTCCTACCCACCCCCGTTTCTCTCTCTCTCTTTTGGTATACATTTTCATGTTAACCATACTGTGGGCCTGTTGGACAAAAAGGCATGATGCAAGTGCATGGAAACAGGCAAACACCAAAGTATAGTGAAGTCCTGCCTGCCTTTTTTTTTCCCTTGCTTCAATACACTGCTTCATCTCTCTTACCCTCTGTGCCAATCCCTTCCCACTCCCAAGCAATACTCAACAACATCTAAGGATTTCTTAAGCTAAGGTTTGTTTTTTTTAAAATCATTTATTTCAATATTCAAAAACACAAATATCGCTGTTCAATCAAACAGTTCCTGACAGAGAAAAACAATGTAGTCCACTGGCAATCCACCAGCAGTCCTGGGTGTAGGAATCCAGGGGCCCCCATGCCAGCCAGGATGGACGAGGTACCCACTTTTCAGTGCTCTTGGTTGATTACAAACATCAAATCTGCTCTCAAGTAACAGTTATCTTGCAGTATCTTGCACTTGAGCTCCATGAAATGTATTCCGCCTATATACTCCCCAATCCTGGGACCTAATGAACTGGGGATCTCACCGTCCCATGCATCCTTCCAGTGATCCTATAAGATGTTGCCTCACCCAGAACTCTGTAGTTCCACAGTCTCGCTTCTCACAGGACCCCTTTCTTAAGTCCCATCGTGCTCCACAGTTCCGACTCCCGAGATGCTGCAGTCTACAGTGCTGGAGTCTGAGCCAATCGAGGGCGGCTCCTCTCCTCCCCAAATCCAAGGCTCACCTGGTCTTCAGGTTGAATTCTTTTCTTATACAACACCCAAGGTCAGTTTTAAGAAAAAAAAACATTAAAAAATAACCCGAAATCGTTACCCACAACGGAGTCCTCTTCAAGTGGGCCTGGAGCCGTCCCCGTGGCAACCATCCTCCCACCGGTTGACGTGGTCCTTTGGAACCGAGTTCTCCAAGGGGAGCCCAGTGGTGCGGCCCAAAAGTCTCTCCAACGTGCTGCCTGAGGCGGGGGGCTGCTCATTGAGAAGCAACGCTTGCCGCACCAGGGCTGACATCTCCTCGTGCTGACTGGAATCCCATTCTGGTGTGGTGGGAGTCTCCTGACAGCAGCCAGTTGGGGTAGTGCTAGAGCCAGGGAATGGCTCCTGAAGGCCGCTGCTATGTGCCCGGCACTTAAGTCGGAGCTTGTGAGGCAGAGCCGCTGTCTTCACGTCGGGATGGGTATCCAGCGGTACTGGAAAGGGTGTAGGTGAACATCCCCAACTGGGCTCCTCGCCGCTGTCCTCACTGGTGTAGCCCTCGAAGGGGGATCTGGGCTCTGGAACTTTCCTTATGTGGTCGGTCTGGGACAGCTCCCCCCCTTCCAAATACCCGGAGGACGCACTATAGCTCTGGGACTTGGAGCAGTAGCTGTGGTGACCCTGTAGCTCTTCCTGTTGGCACTGGGGCTCACGGTCCATGCAGGGGCTTGTTGGTGCCTCAGCAGTACAGCCTTCTGCCTGCTCCTCCTGTTCAAGAAGCAAGGGCTGGGGAGCTGCCACTGCTGTAAAGCCATTGGCACTGAAGAGGATTACACCCCGAGGAACTGGGCCCTTGGGCTCCAGAGGGTGCTGTAATGGGGCCTCCCCGTAGGCTCGGCTTACTGCCTGGGCCTCCCCAAGCGTTTGGGGCACCGGGCTGTCCCGAGACGAGCCATCCGACATGTCGGAGAGGGAGCCCCGTGGGGAATACTTGGAGACAGACACGCTGCCGCTGTCCCGGCTGGACTGCTCAGTTTCTGAAGAGTCCTCTGAGTGGTGGGCCCGGGAGAGAGGGCCGGTGTACATGCTGCTGTCGTTGCTCCCGTATAAGTGTGCGGTGGCGTTGGTGCTGGCGGTGCTCAGCTGCTGGCTCTTCTCCATAAAGGCTGCCGTGCTGATGAGGCCGAACCGCAGCTTGAGTTGCAGCAACTCAGTCTTTAGCCGCACATTCTCCTCATTGAGGGCCAGCACTCGGTTTTCCAGGACCAGGTCATTGAAACGGCGCTTCTCCCGGGAGCGTTTAGCAGCCTCGTTGTTCTTCCGACGCTTTTCCCAGTAGCTGGCATCCTTCTTCTCGTCAGAAATAAACTCTCGCTTTCGCCTACAGTTGGCATTGGGCTTGCTTTTCAGTGTCCGGGCTCGCTGGATCATGCCCTCGTGAGGGAATCCAGGAAAGCTCCCTGCTACGCACAGAGTAGGTGAGCTGAGGCTCTCCATCGGGTGGGGAGAAGGGGCAGGAACACCCAACGCCCAAATGTGCTTCGCTCCGTTTCACCTCTGGCAGCGTCCGCGGTGGCAGCAACCTTTGCCGGATCAAATGGTTCTTTCCTGCCCTGTGTCCAAAGCTGTTACCAAAGCCTTAGAACCAGGGGGTGCAGTTTCCAGTTTGGCCTTGAGCCGTCCTCCAGTCGCAGCAGTCAAACGGGCTACGGGCTCCCAGCGATGTGAAAGGAACTCTCTCGTGCACGGAGATCATCTTCCAGGAGACCCACTGGGACGGTGCTTTCCTTCTGACTCGCAGAGGCTGAGGCAGTTCAGGATTCTGCCGGTCTCTGTACAGGGCTGGGAGGCTTCTCCTTCCCTTCCCTGGAAAACGGTGAGGCTTTGCAGCTAGACTCCCACGGACAGACGGACGGCAAGAGCAGAGATGCGACAGGGCGGCAAGTGTGATGTGAAGTGAAGGGAGTCACTGTCAACCGCTGTGCCGGGCCCAGAAGGTACCAGAAACGCCTAAGGAGGAAGGACACAAAAGGAAGGTGTTAAACATCTCTGCCCAGTGCTGTCACACACCCCAGGCACTGCTTACATAATCCAGCAGGTTCAGACAGTGTTGTGGAGAATCCTGGCATGTATGGGCCACACCCTGCATTCTAGTTCATGCTGAAAGAGATCTGCAGTTGCACACAAAGGATAGGGTCACCCCCACCCCACAAAACCTTACATCTAATGCCATCTGGCTCTGACTTCTGGTCGACATGCAAGCACACAGGGCTATGTCCTTGCACAGAGTAAACCCACTGAGTAAATGGGCCTTGTTAAGACAACATTCATGTTAAGTCTCACTGATTCTATGAATAATCTCTAGCTGGGACTAACAGGAGGTTTAGCCCAAAGTACATGCACATATCCTGTACACCACCTCCTCCTACATAACCCATATTTTGTGTTGCATAGACTGCATGCCATGACGTCCTATGGAGACATACATAAAATGGCATAGAACAATCAAAAAGAGAAGAGTATATAAAATCTGTATGGCACAGAGATGGCTTTACTGCACACGGACAAAACTCATTCTACTTCACCACCTGCATGCATGCATGGATACACATCATGTTTCACACTCGTTTTTCACTCTCACAAATCAAGGGCTCAATCCTCCATCTCACCTCCTCCCCACTTCAAATCAGTTCCAACATCTGTCCATCATGTTATATGCCCCTGCAACAAACCGAAGGACAATTTCACTCGCAGAAACACTTTGTTATATAGGCATGGACTTAGCTCCACTACTGTTCCCCCTCCCTACTCACAGATGACTAATCCGGCCGATTTCTTTCATACATCCTCAATCTCTGTTTCTCCTTGGAGGGCTTTGCTGGGGGTGGGGAGCGCAGTGATGCTGGAAATACGGTGCTTGAAGCCCAACTGGGAACTTTAACCTTGAAACCTACAGATCGAAAGGCAAGCTCGCTCCTGGTCCCATTTGACTAAGGAGGAGGAATAAGGCCACTGAGCAAGCCGGTTGCATAAGAAATGCCAATATAACCACCACCCCTCCCATGACACATACAAGGGAATGCTGAAGCTTCCCTTTGTCAAGAAAGCAGGGCCATGTGTACAAAGAAGCACGCTCTCCCATGATGATGTTACACCCCCCCTCCCTTTCCCTTTGCATGTGATCTACCCGCATCAGGCTCAAGCAGCAGGAATATAGGTCAGTAAACACTGAATATTTATCAAGTGAGGCAGTCAAAACAGGTCTGATGATTACAGATTGCACAACAGCCCCAGAAAGAAAGAAAGGGAAAAAATGGAGCACAGGCACAATGCCAGCAAACCTACTGGCCTATAAACTGTCTCAGCACAAAGAAACAATAGGAGCTGAGAGGCAGGGAAGAGGTGATGTGGAGGCAGTAAGAGAAGGAAGCTGCAAAGGACTCGAGGCCTCATCCCTTTTTCTCGGTGGCTGGCATGTTGGCAGTCCATTTGCCCACAGCAGAAGTGAGCCAGAGCATTCCACCCGACTCCCGGCTTGTTTGGAGGTTGCTATGGGCTACATCTGCTTTCTTGACACACATAGTTTCTATGATGAAAGCCACCAGCACACCGTCACTTGTGCCATGCAGAACAAGTGCAAACATATTGCAGTTTTTTTTTAATGGTTATATTTTGGGGAGAATTAAAACACACTAAGAAAATGGTCTGCGTTTCATTTTTGAAAAAAAGGAATTTATGCCCCAGAGTATGATTTTTAAAAAAAATTTAAAAATCAAATATTTTTAAGAAGCTGTTCTCTCACACACACACACCAAAATGGGAAAAAAGAGTCCTCAGCTGAGAAAATGAGACAGTCTGAAATCTGATGACCATTGAAATATCATATATGAAACAATGTTCTGCAGACAGTCATAACACTCTGCCACCCCCACATAAGCTCTCCTCCAACAAGATACAGAAAGCAGTGCCATGTACTCTCTAGAAAGCAAAGGCCAGGCAGTGGGATGGACTAGGATATACAGTACAGTATATGTGACAGAAATCCCTGTGGAAGGAAATCTAACTACTGTATATATTCAGGTTTTAGAAGAGGTAGCTGTGTATGTGTCTGAAGAAGTAAACTGGTCTACAAAAGCTCACATTAAAGTATAGCAGTTAAGATGCCACAATGTTTCTGTCTTTATTTTCATTTTCATTTTTTTATTTTTATTCATTTTTTTATTTATTGGCCTATACACTGGAAATTTTTATTTATTTATTTATTTATTTTGGCCTATACATTGGAGATGTTGTTGAACAATTCCCAGTGCTGCACTGGAAAAGAAACAAGCCTTCCCACTGAAACCCATTGAAATCATTGAAATCAACAGTTTTCAGGGATATTCTGTCCAAGTGAAGGATATGAATTGTTAGTGATCATGAGCCCCCCCCTCCTCTCTATACATGTATGCAAGATCTGAAAAGGTTTCATCCTGTTCACTGCAGAGACACGGGTTATTCCACCAAAGAAAGAGGGTGCGCTAGCTTTTATGGGATGAAGACTAGAGCCAGGATTTTCAAATTCTACTTTGTAAGGTTTGCTTTAATTTTTATTTTGCCTCTCATTCCACACACTAGTCTCCGTTTCTCCATAATACTGCAAGAGCTGCTGTCACAGCAGTCTAACCCTGGAAGAAAGATCCTAGCAGTTTATATATTATTTTTATTTTCTTTATCTACTGAACTCCCTGCTCTCATTTCTTCCCAGTAGTTTTACCAGAGCCACTGATCTGGAAGAAACAGGCTTCTCTACCCAGCTCCTTCTTTGCCCTACACATTTCTCTTTCATTCTGGGTCAAGGAGGAAAATAATGTTTCATCTAAACAACCCAAATCCCACGCCCTGATCCGCCTGCAGGGCCTGAGCCTCGTGTCTTGGAGAACACGTGGAGCTGCCAGCAAGGATGGGATGGGCGTGTGCAACCAGGATGTGGCGAGCTTGGGCATGAAGGGCACCATGACCTACTTCCCAGTCTGCATCACAGCCCTGGGGCAGTAGGGCTTACATAGTCTGCAAAGGAGGTCACCTACAAGGGCTGCAAACACACTCGGTACCCTTGGCTTAAGAGGGCCCGCATCTTAGAATTCTTTGGTATCATTTAGAAATCAACACATCCTGTGTTGACAAACACTGCCCTGGAAGACATAAAGCAACCTTTGGGCAGCTTGTAGATAGATACCAAGAGAGCACCGCACACCACCCTTTCAGCCCCCTCTCCGCCCACTTACAGGCTGGGATGAAAGCTATCCTAAATGTAATAGTGTGTCTGTGCAGATTACTTTTTAGTCACAAACAGACTCACAGCCAATGTGTATATTTTGAGGGTTAGGAGGAAACGGTTTCCAAATTAAAAGGTACTACCTTCATATAAGATACAAACGCCTTTAATTTTACATATTAAGTTCTTGTTCACATTCAGTTAGAAAAGAAAATAGTTATTGTTTTGCTCTGGAAGAATGTGTGTTTCTTTGTAGATCTGTGTGTAAGTGTGTGTGTGTGTGTGTGTGTGTGTGTGCGTGTGTGT